AGCACAGCGGATGGGAAGCTGAGCAGCGTCGGAGACCTTAAATAACACCAGAGCATCCTCACTCTCTCAGCCCCGGGCCTCCTGCCAGCCTCCCAGAAGGTTTTTTTTTGTGTGTGAATAAATGAGAACTTCCGAAACAAGCCCTCTGACCGCCTTGCTCCTCTAAGGCAAAACAAACCCTGCCTGGCTCGGACAGCACGTGGCCATGTTTGTTCCCTCCTTTCCAGACTTGCCTGAAACAAGCTGACAAACCTGTCTGTCTCAGGTTTTTGGGATGTTTCCCAGGGTTTTGAGGCTCATGAGGTGATAGGAAGCTTTATGTTTGGACTAGAAGTTTTTCTTGCCAGCTGTGTGGGAGCAGTGCAGGTAACCGTGTGCCATCAGCTGCATCATGGGGAGGCCGTGGCCACAAGCACTTTTATTTTTAAACCTTATCTTTATTGCAGTTTTCTCCTGCATTGCTGGGAAAGGTGAAATGCACCTTATCTGTTTGTCTGCTGGCAGCATGAGCTGTTCCTGCGGAGGCGAAAGGTGGATGTGCCGCGCCGGCAGCACCTTCACATTCCCTGTGGCACTGGGGCCGTGGGGGTGATGCCAGGGCAATGCCAGGGTGATGCTGAGCCAGCCTGGCACACATCCATGATGGGTGCTGGGTGTTGTGTGGGAAAAGCAGGTCCCCTGCAGCCCCTTCCTGCCAGCTGAGCACCTCCGGGGTGTGTTATCACTCTGGCCTCTGGCCAGGGGCTTAATTATGGGTTTCTGATGCAGCAATAAAGTAAAGCTGAGTTGGGGCCTGGCCCAGAGATGCTGAGCTGATGGCTTAGCTGGCACCTCAGGAGCTGGAATTGCCCTGATCCCAGCCTAGGGGTGCAGAAGAGGGGAGCAGCCAGTACCTGTACCCCATCTTGAGGCTGGTGGGAAGGGTGCTGGGATCTCATGGGGTGACAGTCCCCAGGATCACTGTTGAATCCATCCCAGGGTGGCTCTGGACACCAGACAGGGCCCCTTCTCAGGGATGTCCTAAGGAGCACCCTAGGGTGCCAGGCAAGAGGGTGCAGGGCCATTGGGCTGCCCTGGCAGCACTCCCCTGTTAATGGTTAATGTGACTGGGCAGTGGCAGTGGCATGGACTTCCCAAGCTATCAGCACTGCCATCGGCCCCAGGAACAGCCTGTACCTTGCTACTGCTGTTTGTTTGCATCCTGCTCCACCCTGGCCACCAGCCTTGCCACCACCCCACAACACCCAACTCCTGCCCAGGCTGTCCCCCAGCCACCCCGAGGGTGGTTTTGTGGGTGACAGTGTCACCTGCAGTGCCCCTGTTTGAGCTGAGATGGAGGAGATGAGGCTCGGACTGGGTATGGAACACCCAGTGCTCTCTAGAGTGGGATGCTCCCTTGAAAGATGCAGGTCGACAGGAGCAGACCAGAATTCCTCTTTTTTTCTTTCCTCCCTCTTTTTAATCCCCTCATCCCCCAGCCAGGTGAGGGGGGCTGCTCTGCTTCTTGACCACTCTTTCTGGGGGGCAAAAAAAGCATTTGGGGAAAGGCAGCATTTTCCATGGAGCCTTATGCCAGCTCTGAACAGTGCCTGATGGAGCTTTTGGAATCTATTTTGAGGCTTGATGGCTCCCACCCCACATGGCTGCAGGGCTCTGGGCTGTCCCAGTGCCTTGCTGGGGCCTGCGGGTTCATCTGCACCTTGAATCAGAGGCACTGGGGGTGATGGGAATGCAGATAAGGGAGTGTTTTCTTCCTCCCGCTTTTGTGAGAGAGAAAATAGCAACTCTGCAACCTGTGAATGCCCCAGGGCAAGGTCAAGTCTTGGTGGGTCAGGACCTGCAGCAGGGTGATAAGCCGAGGTGGTGGTGCCCAGGCAAGGGGAACTGAAGCTGGGGTGGAGGTATGGTACCTGGGGTTTGTCCCTGGGGATGGAGAGGCAGAGCTAGGGGG